AATGTTTCAGTCATCTGGCAAACATTTATTGTACCTCAGATACACCAAGCACAGTGCTCACTATATAGAAAGGAAATATCCCTAGGATGGTTCTAGATGGTTCTTGGTTCTTTTGCTAGGTCCCTTTCTGTCTGCTTTTCCCCTACCCCATTAATAATGGGATCATCATCCTTTCAGTCACCCCAACTAAAACCTACAGACCATTTCCTAATTCTCTCTTATCCACTACTCTGATCACTTCCTGAGTCTGTCTACAGTACCTTTTCCTCCTTGCCTCCCCATTTCTACTACCATTTCCCCTGATTTAGGTCATTTCCTCCTATACCTTCACTTTTTTTTTTTTAAGATTTTATTTATCTATTTGACAGAAAGAGACACAGCGAGAGAGGTAACACAAGCAGGGGGAGTGGGAGAGGGAGAAGCAGGCTTCCTGCTGAGCAGGGAGCCCGATGTGGGACTCCATCCCAGGACCCCGGGACCAGGACCTGAGCCGACAGCAGACACTTAACGATTGAACCACCCCGGCACCCCTATAACTTTACTTTCAATAAAAATCTACTTGATCTCTTCCTCCAAATTCTCTCCCTACCAGTTAATCCTATATACCATGGCTGAATTAGTAAACTTCCTAAAGCACCAGCCTTGCCATAACGGCTTCCCGTTTCCTCCAATATAAATTCCAAACTCTTTCACCTGGACTTCAGTCTGTTACCATTTAGCTTCTAATAATCTTCCTCTACCCTCACCTGTACCCTTACTCTTCATTCCAGCCAGACTGGACCACCCTTCTAAAGGCACTTCCCTTGCCTCTCTTACCTTCTTAATGCCCTTCTCCATGCATCCAACTCTACCTGCCTTTCAACAGCCCACTCTTATGTCACTTTCTCCTTGAAGTCGTTCCTGATCTCAGCTCTCTTTCCCTTTCACCCTCTTAGCCAGGAGTGATTGTTCCCTATTCTGAATTCCCATACATTTTATTTCTGCCCCTTGTGGGTTTCTTATCTCATTGACTATAAGCCACCTTGTACATCTTGGTATCTCCCACAATAGCTAATATTAGTTACTCGGGGGTGCCTGGGTGGCTCAGTCGGTTAAGCGTCTGCCTTCGGCTCAGGTTATGATCCCAGGGTCCTGGGATCAAGTCCCACATCAGGCTCCTGGCTCAGCGGGGGTCTGCTTCTCCCTCTGCCCCTCCCCACCTGCTCATGATCTCTGTCTCTGTGTGTGTCTCTCTCTCTCAATAAAATCTTTAAAAAAAAATACTAGGTTCGGGCGCCTGGGTGGCTCAGATGGTTAAGCGTCTGCCTTCGGCTCGGGTCATGATCCCGGGGTCCTGGGATCGAGTCCCGCATCGGGCTCCCTGCTCCTTGGGAGCCTGCTTCTCCCCCTGCCTATCTCTCTCTCTCTCTCTCTCTCTGTCTCTCATGAATAAATAAATAAAATCTTTAAAAAAAAAAAAATACTAGGTTCTTGGTAGGTGTTTATTGACTAAAAGAATTGTATATTTACAGTGTCTTTATTGTAACATAATAGGCTTAAGCTCAGTGAGAGTAGGAACTATTGACTATTTCATTCCCATTCTGTATTTCCAACTCCTAGCACAGAGGAAACACTCAATAAACATTTGTTTTTGTTTTTGTTTTTTGTGGTTTTTTTTAAAGATTTTATTTATTTATTTGACAGAGACACAGCAAGAGCGAGCGAGCACAAGTAGGGGGAGTGGGAGAGGGAGAAGCAGGCTCCCCGCTGAGCAGGGAGCCCAATATGGGGCTTGATCCCAGGACCCCGGGACCATGACCTGAGCCGAAGGCAGACACTTAACAACTGAGCCACCCAAGCACCCTCAATAAACATTTGTTAAATGAAATACATTACAGTTACCAGTTATTGGGATATAAATTTCTTCATGACACCATGGATATCTGGAAATACTACTTTATGTTATATTTTGAAAAATCTTAGTTAATCAATGTTTCTTCATTTTATATTGACAAATACTCTGTTAAAGGTCATGTATTAATATTGTCACTTTACAGAAGAGGATACTGAGGCTTAAAGAAATTAAGTAGTTTATTTATGATCATATGGCCAATGAGTAACAGAACTGAGTCTAAAATTCAAGTCTTCAGATGTGAAGTTTAGAATTTTTCTTGGCTAATGATGGTTTGGCCAAAGGCTAGTTTGGTTCCATTTGCTTTAGGATTGTTGGGGTTAAACTATTGCAGTCGTGTAATCATTCCACCCAGTGGAGTAGAGCCAGATCCTTGATTGACCTATTGTCTGTATTTTGGATATTTTCAAAGTCAAACAAAACCCTACAACTTTTCTGAAGGAAATCTTGGCCACTTTGGTCACTCCCTCCAAGATGAGATGCCTGTCTCTTCAGGCACTCTTCTCCTTGTAGACTTCTATCCCTAGTTGGTTTGGCTATTAAGATGTGGGTCTGATTTCAGGTGACAGCATAGAGAGTAAGTAGGTCTCCAAGTATTTGCCAGGCAGTACAATGTGCACTTAAACTACATAGTATTCATTGAAAGCATGGGGGAGAGATTGAGGGAGACTTGCTTGATGCACAAGCAGTCATTCTCTTTTCATATTCGTTTACTCTTAAGTCAGATCAACAGCAAGCTAAGTACCTAGCCTCCATAGACTTGCCTTTACTAGATTGCTGTTTATTCATTTGCCATCAGGCTGGTTATGAAGGATCATTATAAGAAACAATCCTCTGAAACTACTTCATCTCTTATAAAAACATTGTGGGACATTATTCATTATGAGACACTGTCTTTTATGAAAATTTCTTGAAAGAAAACTGAGCTTAATACAAAGAATGCTTTTACCTCTTCTGAGCAATTGCTTTGTTTTTACCTTATGGACATTGTGAATGTCTAACTTAACGCTCTCTGGTTAGCTGCCAAAAAGCTTACAGCCAGATTTGTGGCCCACCCATAGCAAATGTGCTCTATGCCTCGTTAACTTTGTTCCTGGCTCTAGTTTATGTCTCTGCTCTAGTTATTCTCTCTTAAGAAAATCTTAATTCATGTCATCTAATTTTGTATATTAATATGTATATATATATTTTCTCATAAACAGCCTTATATTGTTTCTGAAATATTTCAGATTATGATATACTGTATGCACATAAAACCATTTTTGGTGCTTCTTAGTTACCTCATTTACTTTAGGCTTTTTCTCTTGAGGGGTATATTTATTTTTCTGTATAGTTTTCACAGGGTTTTAATCACAGGAAAATGGTTGTGCCACAAAATTTTATTATTTTAGTAGTGTAATCAAGTGGTAGAAACCTGGTCTAATGGCAAGAATTGATTAAATTGGTTATTCTAGCCCAGTCTTTCACAGAAATGGTTACATTTTCTTACAGTATGCTTTGTTTTTTTTTTTTTAAGATTTTATTTATTTATTCATGAGAGCCAGAGAGAGAGAGAGAGAGAGAGAGAGAAGCAGGCTCCCAAGGAGCAGGGAGCCCGATGCGGGACTCGATCCCAGGACTCTGGGATCATGACCTGAGCCGAAGGCAGACGCTTAACCATCTGAGCCACCCAGGCGCCCCAGTATGCTTTGTTTTGTACTGTATCTGCATGTGACTGTTTATTGCTTTGTGATTTGTAGTGATGTTGTAATGCTGCCAGGTCATGAATAGCACTTAACTCTCTTTTGCTCAAATATTATGTTACCTTCCACACTGATCAGACTTCTTGTCTTTGTTAGCACCTTACCTTGGGTGATCATAAGTGTATTAATCTTACCATATAATTTGTCTTGCTCTACTCTAAATTAGTCATGCTTTTGTTTGGACAAGGTAATAGGAATAGATGTTTGTTTCCAAACCTCATTTGCTTCCATTGGTATGGAGTGCTATCTAGATTTTCTGATCACCTTACTAATATCAATTAATAATATAAATACTATTAGTACAACATTTTATATTCTTTTAATACCTTCAAGTAAAACTATTTGGCCTTTTCTACAATTCACTAAGGCATGTAAAGCAAATGTACACTCTTTTTACAGACAAAAGCAAGGACAAAATCATTTAAATTTTGTGATAGGACTGGGGCTAGATCCAGGTCTCTTGATTCCTGTGCCTAACTACCTTTCAATTTACAAAAAAAATTCTAACATATATATTTTTTAAAGATTTATTTATTTATTTGAGAGAGAGAGCACAAGCAAGGGGAGGGGGAGAGGGTGAAGCAGACTCCCTGTTGAGCTGGGAGCCCGACGCGGGGCTCTATCCCAGGACCTGGAAATCATGACCTGAGCCGAAGGCAGATGCTTAACCACCTGAGCCACCCAGGTGCCCCCTAACTTATAAACATTACATAGTCTTTATCTTACCACTTGAGGTTAAAGATGGGAAATGGACTAGGACATATTATATCACTCATGCTCACAACTCAGGCAGAACCAGGAATGTTTTTCATTTGTGTTACAATTTTCTGTTCTTCAAATTGTAGTTCCTTTTAACTACAACTCTAATCACTGTCACTTTCCATTATGGAATGAGGAAGCAATATTTTTATCTTATCTCTTGAAAATTAATGTTGAAATGGAAACTATTTCCTTTGCTAATGAGCAGCATTTTTCTTTAGACTCTTTGAAAATTCACTTTAATGTAAAAATAATTTGCCGTTATTATCATGCATAAAGGGCCAAATAAGTATATGGTTAATGCTAGGAAGTTTCATAAATGTTTGTTATAATTTTAACGAAACTCTGCATCTAAAGAGGAAATTAAAAATTCATGCTTATTGTTTCAGCATGAAAAATTTCCTAAGTTTTCATTCTAACTGTTAACATATAGCACATAAGTGAGGGTCTCTTGAATGTTTACTCTTAGCCAGGTATTGTTGCTGAGCATTTTACAATTATATTTAATCTTTACCAAAACCCTCTAAGAGTAGCTCCTATTTATGACCCTCATTTTATACCCAGGTATCATATTCAACAGTAAATATTATCTTCTGCCTCTCCTTCAGCTTCTGGAATTTCTAATCAACCCTGGTCAGTACAAGATGGACCCCGTAGTCTTGAGTTATATGGACAGTCTACTGCGGCAATCAGATGTCTCACTGTTGGATCCTCCAAGCTGGCTCAATGACCATATCATTGGATTTGCCTTTGAGTACTTTGCCAACAATCAGTTTCATGACTGTTCTGACCATGTCTGCTTCATCAGCCCCGAAGTTACCCAGTTCATCAAGTGCACTAGCAACCGAGCAGAGATTGCCATGTTCCTTGAACCCCTGGACCTCCCCAACAAGAGAGTTGTATTTTTAGCCATCAATGATAATTCCAACGAGGCAGCTGGGGGAACCCATTGGAGTTTGTTGGTTTATGTGCAAGATAAAAATAGCTTTTTTCACTATGATTCCCATAGCAGAAGCAACTCAGTCCATGCAAAGCAGGTAGCGGAGAAACTGGAAGCTTTCTTAGGCAGGAAAGGAGACAAACTGGCCTTTGTGGAAGAGAAAGCCCCTGCTCAACAAAACAGCTATGACTGTGGGATGTATGTGATTTGTAACACTGAGGCCTTGTGTCAGAACTTCTTTAGGCAACAGCCAGAATCACTATTGCAGCTACTCACTCCTACATACATCACAAAGAAAAGAGGAGAATGGAAAGCTCTCATTGCCAGACTTGCCAAAAATTAGCTATCAAAGTGTATCTGTGACTTTTGAAGTCTCTTCTTTCTGCCCATCCCCATTTATTGGATGGCTGCAGTCTCAGTGCCTGAAGGAAGATGCCTAGTAGAGGGAAGCTTAGTGTTCTCATTTTTCCCTGGAAGAATGTCATCCTCTGCATTATCCAAATGGAAAGTTTCACTTTAACCCTAACTTGAGAGCGTGTGCTCTGTGACAGTTTCTTCAAGTTATGTATCAAAACCTTAAAACCACGCTATCTTAACATTTATTAATTCCCTTTTTGTCTCCCTTATCCACATTGGCTTATTCCAGAAGAAAAGCAGTGATCTTTAAAGAAATCAAGTATACGTGAAATCTAGAGGAATGCACAAAGAACATTATAGAAGAATCAAAAACGTATTGCACAGAGATCAACTGGCTAGAAGCAGGTCAAGATCTAACCTAATTCAAGATCTAAATATTAGAATCAAATACTCATTTCTGTGGTATCTCTTCCATTCACCATGCAGAGGCTTTCCTGGCTATCTTTGTAACCTTTGCAGATACTTGATAAAGATGATGTTAGCCCATCTTCCCCCATCTAATTCCTGGACTGCTTTAAGAAAGGGGGAATCTTGAGTAACTTCATTAAAATATATGGCTGTTAGACCTTTTAGTTCACTCAGTGAATGGGTCAACTTGCTGCTCTGCATTGGTAGCGGCTTTTCTTCACTTTGTCTGTTAGCCATGCATACACTCCTTCCTTATATCCAAAGTTCTGTGGTTTTAAAACTCGTAGCTGATAACTTCCCAAAGTTACCTGTTATTTCTAATATTGCTGCTTTCTGATAGTCATAGTTTTTCCTTTCCTCTCTATCTGTGATCTGGCAGAATTGTTTTCAGTTATGTCATGGTGATATCAGGGCTATTATTGTATCTAAAACTTGCAGACTAAAAGTTGGTTTGTTTTTGCGATTATAAAGCAGAAAAAGTGACCTTTCTCAACCCTTCCACTTAATTCAAAATGCAGACGATGTTATTTTTTAAATATGGAACCAAGAATAAAAAGAAATGCTATCCCTCCTAAATCATTGATGTGTTTTTTTCTGAGTTTCAGATAATTAACAACCAGATGATATGTTGGGTACACACATTAATTGTACTAACAAGAATTAGACTGCAATGCATATGAGGCTTGAAAACCAAAGATTAGTTTCACCTGTGAAATTTATTTCACCTCCCTCCCCATCCTACCTTTGCCCCCAGCCCTCATGGCCCAAAATAACCTCACCACTCAGTAACCGCAAAACTCGGTTCCTTTTAGTCAGGGAGGGAAAACACAGTGTAAGTAATATAGGTTACATAGCAAGCTGAGTGAACATGAGTTGAAACTGAAAGTCTGAGAAAGCTACAAAAAAGTTTCCATTTCAAGTCAGTATGTTTTGGATAAAAAAGAGACCTAATAAAAATGGGAGCAGGAAAATAAAAGATTTGGAACTGGCAATCAGCCATAGAGGTGAAATAGGGAGAGAAGGACAGCAAGAGGAGTGACGGCTGAGGCCATTAAGTGTAGATAAAGGTAAGAAGGCAATTATCATTTCAGTAGCTGTTGACTTAGGTATCTAGACTATGAAAGACTCAAAGGCTCTCTGGGAAAATTTGTTCTGATAAAGCAAAGTATGTCTGTTTAAATGTCAGATCACCTCCCTCTTACAAGTCAATCCATCTGAGAGCAATTTTCCTGACTCCCTAAAAGTCGTTGTTTTTTAACTAAACTAGCAAAGTCTTTAAAAAAGAAAAAAAGATAAAATCTAAGGTTTCCTTTTCCAAATACATAACATGGTTGGACTGTGCCACAGATTAGTCTTCTATACAATATTTGAATATGTCATTTGTAAGTGTTAGCATTGTAAATGACAGGAGACTTTGAGAGTTTACTTGTAATATTTCCCTAGGTACTGTAATAGCCATAGGTTATGCACTTGCTTGACCATACACTTTTGATGCTATGCGATACAAAATTGGGAAGAACTCTTCTGTGGTACTGTGTTTCCTTTTCTCTTAGAGTCAGAAGAATCCAGTCTGCAAAACTCAGCTTCAGAATATTCAAAAGGAAAGCAGGTTTTTCAGAATTGGATTGAGTAATTATTATATGAACTTCCCTGCTTTCAAATACCCTGAAGTATTGCTCCATACTATATTCAGACTTATCCAACCTGTGTCTCATGGAATTTGGAAAAGTCACCATTTGTAAGCCCAGCTATAGATGGTGGTCAAAAATAAAAAGTATCAGTGGGCTTTCTTTTTTTTTATTTGACTATAACTAACAATGTTATATTAGTTTTAGGTATACTGTGAGCTTTCTATTTAATACTGTTCAAATCAAAAATATTTCTCCCCTTTGGCTAGATAGCTATTTAAGTTTATATTCACTAGTCCTAACTGGATCAGAATCATTCAAAAATCACAAGTGGATTATATTTCTGATACATACCTTATTATTTTTACTATTTCCATATTGACCATATGTATGTTTTAATACGTATTTCATTGAAATGACAATTTCTCAGTCATGTGGTTATTTAAGTTTTTTCTTCCATCACTTAAAACAGAAAAAGGGAAAATACAGAAATTTACATGTTGTGGTTGTGGGAAAGAGCATGAATGTGTTAATCAAATTCAGGCCCCATCTGTTATAAATGTATAGCCTCAGGCAGGTTTAAGATTTCAAAGCCTCATCTGCAAAATCAAAGTAGTAGCCTGTTCAAGCGGGTACAAAAGGATTAAATATTATATGTAAAGCATACACTAAAACCTATTCCCATTCTGTCTCACTACCCAGTTCCATTTTAAATCTAGCAACAAGTTTGAAAACTTAGTTTTATATTGCAACTAAATAGCTATGTAAAAAATGGACTGATAAATACTATTATGTACAAAAAAGAAAACTATTCAAGGATTGTAAATGGCAACAACTAATCTTTGTATCACTTTATAATGTGCAAGTTACTTTATATATGTTACTACATATTATAATTATATAATCTCATTTAATTGTCATGTTTTGCCAGCTATCATTGTTCTCTGCATAGATAAGAAACCCACCTCAGAAGCTTAGTCACATGATTGAGAGTGACAGGGTCAAGACTCATATGCAGGGCCTCCATCTCCCTCCTCACATTCTCCACTTATTCCTTTCTGCCTCTCCCAGAAATGGTGGCCAGAACTCCTTGCTTGAATATTTTAAATAATCTCACCTCACTATAAATTTCCTAAATTCAGCCAGCATATCACAGAAAGCAATAGTGAGAAATTGTCACCTCAATTTACTGCTAGGTAGCAGAACCTCTATAATAACTGGCTTTGTTTTATGTATTAGGTCATATTTGGATCAGCTCCTGACATTAATCTACTGACCTAACGTATTTTAAAAGTCCTACATTGTACTTCCTTTCAGATTCCTTGTATATAAAAGATGGGAGGTAGAATGAGAGCAGTAGCCTGGGGAATCTCATAAAAAAGAAGAGGACTTAAAGGAATTTCATTTTGTATAAATGAAACTAAGCACAGATGGAGCACTCTGTACAAAAGCAGGGAAAACGAGACAAAATCCTCTAAGGAAAGATCAGGTGCTAAATGCATGTAAACGAAGTTTTCTTAGGCAGGGAGAAACTAATGTGTCAGATTGTCAGAGGAAATGGTAACCAACTTCGGTGTCAGTAGTAGGGAGGAGTTACCAGTAATCTGGACAAAATTAATCTTAGATCCTGCAGTTTGTGTTAAAAGACAAGAGAAGAATTACTTCATGGCTCTTTTCCCTCTGTGTACCCAAATGAAGCATCCTGTATTTGGAAGAAAACCCTTTCCCCATGACACAAGCTGGATCAAGGTTTTCTGCAAGGGGTTGTGCTTTGCTAGCTGGCTCCATCCGCCAGCTCTCCACTGCTGCTACCTCAGTCTTCGTTCCTCAAACCTGCAAAGCCCTTACCTCCTCCTGCACTCTGCAACTTCAGAGAGAAAACAGCAACTATCTTGAACTCCTTCAACTTTCCTGACACCAAATCTACAAACCTACCTGCACCTGTGCCCATTTTTGAGCATTCTTCACTCCTATTGCAATGACCCTCATAGCAAAAGGCTAATCCCTTAACCTATGCACTGGACCTTGTGCAAACAACACACACTCATCATCATCATCATCATCATCATCATCATCATCATCATCATCATCCGCTTCTCTGCTGGCTCCTTTCCATCAGCATCTAGATGTATAGATGTATTAAATCTCTCCATCTTTAAAAATAAATAGAAGCACGATCTCATGTCTTCCTCTAGATATTGACCTTTTGCTTTCCTCCTCTTTAACAGCCAAATCTAAAGTGTCACAATTTCTCACCTCCCTCTCATTTCTCAACCCACTTTAATCTAGATTCTGCTCCCACCACTGTACAAAAAATGCTCAGTAAGATCATTTATGGTTCTTATTTTTACTAGTCTTCCTAGCAATGTTAAACCTTCCTTTTCAAACCACTCTTTAACTGATGTGATACCTAGTTTTCCTAGTACTTCTCTGACCACTCTTTCTTATTTTCAAGTTTCTTATCAAGTTTATTCTCAACTTGATAGAGATTCTCAGGATTTTGTCCCAAAAGCCCTCTTCTCCTCATTCTGTCCACACTTCCTAGGCTCTCCCAGCCATTCCCCAGGCCAATGATAAATTTGGGCACTTCTGACCTGTACTTCTCTCCCGAACTCTTCCAAAATTCTACCTGTGTATCCTCTACTAGACATCTTCCTTTAGGATATTTCATAAGCAACTCAAACCCAACAAATCCTAAAGCTCAACTCCTCTTCCCCCATCATCAAACCTGCTTTATCCGTATTCCCTACCTCCAGAAATGACACCACTGCCCACCAAGTTCTAGCCAGAAATCTAGGAGCCATCCTTGACTTGTCTCTTTCTCACACATTCCACATCTATCAATCTCCTAATCATGTTTGTTGCACATTTTAAATATCCTTTAAATTTGTGTATGTCTATCATCAATGCCACCACTGTCGTCCAAACAACCATCAGCTTTCATCTGGACTGCCCCAATAGCTTCTAGGGTAGTGTTCCAGTATTCATGCATACTCTCCATCCCTCAGTCCATTTTATATTCTGCCAATATCTTAAAGCTCAGCATAATCTGGCTCCTTCCTGCTTTTCCCACGTCTTTATGAGCTAAACCACCCTTGCCCTAGTTTACTGTGCTCCAGCTCTGCAGACTTTCTTGTAGTTCCTCCAACACAACCCATTCTTTTCTTCCCTTAAAGCCTTCCCTCCTAATGATCTCTCTCCCTCTAATTCCCCCACACTCTTCATCAGGGAAACTCCTATGTAATCTCTTCCTCAGGGAAATCTTCCCTGATGCACCAGACTAATTTGCTTTCAGTGTGCCCAAATCATATATAATTTTTGGTGTTAAATCTCTCTTCCCACTAAACTGTAAATGCCCTGGAGGCTAGGAACCATGTCTGATTTGTTCATCATTGAATCCCTGCTGCTTAATATAGTGCCTGGCACATAGACACTGGTTGTTATTTGTTGAATGAAAAGGTGCAAATACAGAAGCAATTTATCAGAAAGAGCCCATCATCCCTCCATGGCACTGCAATAGGAATCAAAATGCCATGTTATCAGCATAACATTTCATGCTTGCATAAGAGCAAGCTATCATGGGGGAAGGGAGGTTGATGAACTTAAGCAACCGGACAGAAAACAAACTCACGAAACATATAACTCTAATGTGGACATCT